ATCCATCTGTAAACAGCCGAGAAATGCTTGATTTTTATAATTTTTTAGCACAAAAATGGCCGCCATTCGGCCATCTTGCATCAGATCGTAAAACAAAATGATGTGCATCAAGGTCCTATAATGTCCAACATATTGTTTTGTGATTGGTCCAGGCATTTCTAAGATACAGGTCCACTCGTACGCACGCACGGACACATGAAGGTCAAAACATAAGTCCCCGTTTTCGAACTGCGTCCAAACGGGGACTAATAAATTTTAATATTTTAATGCTTTCGTCTGGAATATGATGAAAAATTCATGCAAACTATACAGGTTGTGTGATGAACGTAAAACATACATGTAGATGCAACATTGTAACTAATTACGATGAGTCTGTTTATACATTGATTATTTATATGGTTAGACAGTCAGCATTCAGCTAATTCCTAGTGGTACATGAAAGTCGGCAAAAAAATTAATTCTCCAACTCGTTGCTGAAAGAATACTTGTAAATGAAACAGTATTCAATTTTACTACTTTTTATTATTATTTTAGTTTATCAATATGTATTTTTTTGCTTGATATTTATTTACTTGGTCTTGTTTCCGAGTTGCATTACGATTGAAATGTATTTTGATAGTTTTAGGAGATTTCTCATTAGCATAGTTGCGTGACAAAACAACCAGAAGTTGAAATGCATGATGGGACCATGAGGTCTAGGAGAGCGCCTTTTTCAAGATGTCGGACTGACAGCAACCATTTTCCGACGCGCCGCAGATTGAACTACCCTGAACTTTGCCGAAGTCTACGTGACGTTTGGTCAGTGAACACTGATTACTTTGTGGCTGGTTCATGATGTGAAATCATCACGAACTCGTGCGAATCTGCGAACTATTGTTTTAACGGCAAATCGTCCACGTCCGCGCTTTTCTTACTTTATCGTGTGACTACTGAGTTAGAAGTTCGCCGATCTACGCCCAACGACGTGAAATCTGTAGTGACCTGACAGGGATTCCTTCACGGTCTGTGAGATCGATTGCCATCCTGAATTTGTGCGAACCCGGACACTATCCCATCGAACTCAACCTGCACAAAGCATCAGATGTTTAACAGGGATCGATCCCAGCGCCTACCGTGAAATCTACGCAGCGAGCTGTCTCCTGGTGACCAACTTCACAGTGATCAACTGGGAACAACGAATATGTTCTTCTGACTACCGGTTGCTTATACAAGACGATACTATTCTGATTTACTGATAAGTACTTTTATGTAACGTTGAATCATTGACATTGAACTATTCTCTTGTGCGATCACGCAATTTACGCATAATTGTTTTTCAGATCAAATTGTTATACATATGTGCATGTACAATTTTTTATAACTTAGGCATATATAAATTAATGTAAATTAGGCGAGGATTCTCTCCGAACCCGCCTATTCACATAGTTCATACCCACCATAGACTCCGGTCAGTTAAAATGACTATTTTGAACTGTAGGCATTAATCATTAATTCTGCCGGTGACGGAGAGATAGAATCTAGGTCAGCGGAAGCCCATGACCTCAAGATTCTTTTACCCCTTACGTCACGAACCCACGTGACCGAGGCCACATGGCAGCGCCATAGGTAGCCGTCAATCACTCCGGTTCCTTTCGCTCCGCCTCGAGGACTTAGACCAACGCGACGGAAAGAGTGGGGAGGGGACCCGGAG